TCCAGGAAAGAGGGCAGCATTTTTTACAGCTGTGCTCCTGGAGCTTGGCATTCGAGACGGGTATTACCAATGCAGGTCCTAATGCAAGCTGACTAGCTCCAGCAGCGATGCTGCCCTCGGTGCTGGGAGGCAGGGATGCGGGGGCTGGCCAGAGTGAGCATCTTGTGTGAGGGATGCAGGGATTTTGCTGCCAGGAGTGGACCTGGGGTGGTCAAAACACTCAGTACTCCTTCCACATCCATTTTATAAGAGAAAAAGATACAGACAGAAACCACCAGGATGGGGAGAAGGAATCAATTTAGGAACATCAGAAGCTCATTACAGTGATTCCCTGTAAGTCACTTAATCTCTTTTCCCTCAACATCCCCCTGGAAATCACTGGTGATGACACAGACTTAATCACTGGAAAGCAGGATCTATCTTGGTTTTGTCCCAGCAAACAGGAGAACACTGCAGCAGCTGCTTGGCTGTGCCCACCTGCATTCCAGCAGGACGGCTATGCTTACCAGCAACGCTGCCCTCCCAATACAACATCAGGTCCTCCCAAGGCACAACCAGCAACATCACAACACACACTTCCCCGGGTTGTCAGACACACACATCCTGTGCACGGATGTGCCTTTCCGAGGCCGCCACATGGCTCTGTCCCAACCCGCCCAGCACTGCCGGTAGAATCAATCACTCCCATGGGAGAGGTGGTCTCATCCTAGTGTAGCGGCCCTGGGCATGCTCCTGGTATACTCCACAGCCTTTGCATCCCCCTCGGATGCGCTGCAAGCCTTGGCTCGCTCTCGGCTGCGAAACCGAACTCCGCCGATGCATCAGCCAGCAGGGGGAAATGTGCAGTATTTTACCCACTGTGATACGGACACACCTTTCAGTACCGTGCATGCCAGCTTCAGGTTGCCGCTCATGCCAACAAGGTTGTCACGCACCATTGTTCCACCTCTCGCAGTTACAATCCCAAAACTCATATTTTTGCTCATGTTAAAACAGGCTTTGAACATTTTAATATCCATGCTAGAAGAGGCAGGGCTTGCCGTGGGAGGGCAGGCAGCATCCTTGGCAGCACTGCTGCAGAAGCATCCAGTACTTCTGAGCACTAAAAGGTTGTTCTGCCCCTGCTGTGATCTGTTTAAGGCCTCAGAACACTAACCAAGGTCATAAAACAAATGAACAAAGACCAGGGGAAAGACTGGAAGAGGAAACTCCAGAGGGGTTGAAAAGAGAAAAATAAAAAAAAAGGAAAGAAAAAAGATAAAAGATGAACTGGTGGTCACACAGGAAATCATATTTACAGAACAGGAATGTAACAGCTACTTTTCAGCATGTACTTGTCAAAGAGCAACTTTTTCTTTTTTCCTGGGATCAGTCTCTTTTCTGCCCTTCAAGTGTTACTAACACCTGTGATTCCAGTGATACTTCATCTTCTTTGTAATACTCTAATTTCTGGACTTGGAAGATACTGAGGATTTCAACTTCCAGGCTTTTTTTTTTTAAGCCTGAAGTTCAACCAAAGAAGAAACCCACAAATACCTTTTATTTCATTCAGAGTCCTGACCCCATGAGTTTTGCAGGTGTGAGGTTGGCAACAAAGGCAGTAGGTAATTTATCTGCTCATTTCTATTACGCTTTCTAGAAGAACCAGAATAAGAGAGATCATCTGTTCAATAGCTGGTCTCTGTGGGGCCAGAAATCAGTGCAATTCAGCCACAGCTCAGCTATTGGAAGGCACGATTATCTAGAAATAGGACAGGCTTGAAGAAAAGGAAAATTGAAGGTAACAGAAGGACAAAAAAGGTCCATCTGAATAGGAAAGGCATGATTCTGCATCTTGATACACCTTTGCTACCTCAGTTACATGAAGGGAGGTTCACTTCACAGTTCACTGCAGGAACTAGCCAACAGTCAGTTAATTTGCTTTACCGTTTGCTTTTAAGAAATACTGCTCAACTTCCTCTGTTCCATTCATTGTTTCTCCACCAACAGAAGGCCTGAGTCAGAGTTCTATTTTCTTCAGACATCAATAGTTAATAGACATTTAAATCTGTTTTCAGAGTCTATATACCATTAAAAAACCCCAAAACATTCCCTTGGAAAAGAATCCACTTATTGACAGCATTTGCACATAAAACAAGGTATACCTGGTTAAAAAAATAAATGTATTTTAAAAGCGTATAATCTAACCTACATCTTACTGCTCACAGTATCATGTACCTTGTACAATTCACTCTGCCACGGACAATGAGAACCGGCCAGTTGTTTCCAGTTTCACATCACAGAGCAAACACTTCAGTTTCCCGACCCTCATGCTCTACAGGCTACTTTTAAGGTTTGCAACTGCAAGCAGCGCACAACCAGTTTTATCAGAATTTCCTTCTAAGACTGGAGACAAAAGAAAATTCAAACATATTTGACATCTGACCTCAGAGACCTCCAAAGTCCTGTTCTCCACAAGTATGTCCTCCTTTTAAGAACAGCTTCAGCTTATCAGAAATCCAAATGAGTAATAGTGACAAATCTATACCAAAGAGTTTTCAGAAAAATTAGTAACCAGTTCTTGCCAACCAGTCATCAATTCCCATGAAGTGCTCATTTGGCTATGATTATCATTACTTATAAGGGTGCCATCAAAATGAAATCGATTCAGTGTTTTAAAAATTATTTAAGAGGAGTTCTAGCATCTCCCAAGTCCCCACTGCCAAATTGCACGTTCTTCTTCACGAGAAGGTGAGGTTTCCTCCCTCGTGTCCAAGAGAAAAAGCACCACTTGCTCTGGTAACAGACAATACTAACAAACCATACGAAGGAAATAATGGGTTACTTCACACATTTGACAGCTTACTGCAGTTTTAAAGATTTGTGAAGATGAAAATGAGTTTCTTTTATCTCAAATTATTTCATTTTAGGTGCATGTAGCAATTATAGCTAATGTTTTCCAGACAGAATTGTGGTTCTTGAACTATGGTGTCCACTTCAGAGCGACACTCAAATTAATCTAGCCAACTTTTCCAGCCCTGAAGCCCACAAGATTAAGGTTTGACAAATTCCAGTGTCATCTGTAACCAAAGTAGAGCTAAATATTCCTGTGCTAACAAAGTGCTAGGGAATGAGGGGACCCTAAGTGAGAGTTTTGGGAACCCTGCATTCACCACCTTTTACAGCTAGCTTTCAGGAGGGAGCTGCCAATTGCCAGGGGCACAGCCCCACAGCAGCTGCTGAGGCCCAGCCCTGCCTGCAGCACCCCTGCCTCCTCCCCTGCCCAGGCACTTTGCTCACTGATTTGGCTGAAGTCTAACTGGGGAAAAAACCCCAAGCAATTAGTGTTCAGCCAGATCAGCCCCCTGAAGCCTCTTGCCATGACCTTGGCAGGTCCCTAAGGAGCACAGAGAATGAGGAAACACAGGACTAGGGTGGAAAGAAAGGTGAGATTGTGGACTTACAACTGGTGTAAACCATTATGGGATCACACCTTCCAGTTACAATCAGACAATTTTTTTTGACAGCAAAATTAAATGAAGCTGTGAACCCAACACTGTTGCCAGGAATCCAATGCAGCAAAAGGCTACCCTCACAAATGGCCCCTGGGCCATTGCAGTCAAAGAGGCCAAAGGGCACCACTCCAAGGACATCGAAAAGCACATCAGGAAAAGGACCTCCCTACAACATCACAGGACACCCCCCCCCTGCCCTTGGGCATGGGGGGATGTCCCAAGGTCAGGGACACCCTGTGGTTAACACTCACAAGGGAGCAGGGCATCCACCCAGCAAACTCCTGGCTCACAAGACAAGTTAGGTGCCCGTTCACTGTTGGGCTGACTAAACACAGCCTTAACAAGTCCCAACTGAGATGCAGTCTTGAGCCTTTGGCTCTGTAACAACACATCTTAACCACTCCAGGTCCTCGGGGGGGATCATTCTCCTAATGTTTTCTTGCTGTTTGAGTGAAAAAAAATAACACTTTCCAGGGCCCTTACTGGGCCAGTGTTCTGGATCCAGTAAACAGTTACTGCAGCTTCACAACACAGTAATAGTAATAAAACTCCAGGATATCAGTAAATATATGGAAAGTCACAACAATGTGCATTTCAAATCTTCATACCCTAGGTGAGCTCCATTCATTCCCCTTTCACTCCCCTTCAAATTACAGCAGCAAACAGAATGTCCCATCTGAACCTCCAAAGGCAAAATGAAAATAGGCTACATAAAACATAGCAGGGTCTAAAAATAAACAGTCAGTATGTTCTGATTTTCTTTCTACTGACAAATACAACCTCAGCAAAAGACCTAGCTGTAGGGAGCATCAGAAGTGAGATCAGAAGTTTTTCCAACAGTTGCCTGAAAGTAATAGTAATAAAACTCCAGGATATCAGTAAATATATGGAAAGTCACAACAATGTGCATTTCAAATCTTCATACCCTAGGTGAGCTCCATTCATTCCCCTTTCACTCCCCTTCAAATTACAGCAGCAACAAACAGGATGTCCCATCTGAACCTCCAAAGGCAAAATGAAAATAGGCTACATAAAACATAGCAGGGTCTAAAAATAAACAGTCAGTATGTTCTGATTTTCTTTCTACTGACAAATACAACCTCAGCAAAAGACCTAGCTGTAGGGAGCATCAGAAGTGAGATCAGAAGTTTTTCCAACAGTTGCCTGAACCGC